ATAAGATGAAACAGTCAAAATTGACTATGGCTTCTTTAAAAATTACGCGGGAAAATACAGACTATGAGTAAAACTAAACTAGACTATTATGATTTATGTAGAATTAAAAAATATTTTACATTTTACAATTTTTAGCTACATCTGTTATCTACATCTACATCTGCAGAATGTGTGCGAGCGACAAAGAGAATAATGAGCGTCAGCAGCGCCGGAGGAGGTGGGGAAAGCAACTCAAAATTAATTTCTTTACTCTGGCTATAATAATGATCCGATCTGTACCAGATTCGGCAATCTGGTAGATATGACCTGTCTCTATCTTTTAAATTGTTGATTATCCATCTGAAATGTAGATTATACATACACAATGTTGATTCTGCATCTGCTCCGCAAGGGTGGCGCATTGCACAGGGCAGATTGTGTGCGAGCGAGAAGGAGAATGAGCAGCGTAGTCTCGCGGTGGAGGAGAGGGGGGGGAAGCAACTGAAATTTAATTTCTTCATTCTGGCTATAATAATATTCCAGATCCAGATTCGGCAATCTGGTAGATATAGTCATTTTCTACGATACTACGCTTTTACTTTTCTGGTATCTTTAAAGTTGTGGCTGCCACAGATTTTTGTCCTTTGTTGGGGCGGAAGAGGCGGGGCAAAAATTTGAAATGCACTTGTAACAGTGTGATATCACATGAGTCTGGAAAAAACATTTGGTTGCTCTAGCTTTTATAGTCTCTGAGAACTAGGCGATCTTCAAGACGGATGGACAGGCGGACAGACGGACGGACGGACAGACAGACAAAGCTATATCACCTCGGCTATTATGCTGATCAAGAATATATATACTATATGGGGTCGGAAACGATTTTTCCTCTGCGTTGCACACATCCACATTTGCCACAAATCTAATATACCCCTTAACTCTTCGAGTACGGGTATAAAAAACAAGAAACTCATATTTTTCGACTAACACTTAAGCTAAAAAGTTATGGGGGCCGATTGATAGCTGAGTTATTAGCTTCTCAGAACTGGAAAATTCCTTAAAACTTAAATAAACTTAAAACATAAATACCATTTTCTTAAAATTGTTTTGAAGAGAGACCTTAACCTTTAAAAAACCATAATTCATCATACATTTTTAGAAATCCAAGTCTATTAGAAAAATTCCTTCCATGCAAAAGGTTTGATTCTCTTACGTGTGTATGCATGTGTTTGGCATTGTACTTTTGTCATTGATCAAATCCGAGCATTTAAAGTGAGATTATTTCAATCGATTCGACAATTTTTTAAATGATATGCATACGTTTGGGTTTTAGATAAAAGTAGAAATTTTAGTAAAATAAACATGCATTCGGTGTAACACGATTATTGGGAAAAATATAGTAAGTAATGTTTGGAATCTGCAAACTATATATTTTTTCTTCCAATTAATGGCCAAATTGCCAGTCAGATATATATTCGTTGAATATTTATGTGCTGCCAATGGAACTGCTGTAATAATTTACTATGAGTTTCGAATATATAACGAGACCACTATCAGCGGCTGGAAGGCAGTCGACTGGATGTGCTAAGTCATTGCAAAACTTTGTTTTTTTAACGTACATAAATGCCCAGCATAATCGTTAAAAGTATATCCTTGCATTATTTGTTTACCAATAGTTAACACCCACAACAATATTATTTAGTATCTTTAGTATCGAACGATGTATATTTTCATATAAACATGTATCATAATTGATATGGAATTCGGGGAGATCCATTATTCTACGTCATTTGAAAAATGTATTGAGTAACTAATAGATGGAAAACCCTATTAATGATATACTCTAATTTCTCTCTATGCAATTAAAAAAAAATAGATTTTAGATTATTTGGCAGCCCTTTTTAATGAACATTGTGTGTTGTATTTAAGCTCTGTTAAGTATTTAACTCAATCAATATATTTCGAATCAAAGATAACTCGGACTTGGGGTGCTTTCGTTGGAGAAGTTATAATGCATCCGTGTATAAATTTATGTTAAAATATTTATAAAAGCTCATACATACATATGTGAACAGCATCATTTTTTAACTCAAACTAATTTCTACGATGTTTTTATGCACAAGTCTCTGCAAGAGCGGTATGCTATTGTCGGGATAGGAAAGCATTGGATCTTAATAGAACTTTCGGCGACAAGTTTCATAGTGAAGATTTCTCGTCTAAAGCCAACGCCAACGTCTCTCCCACTTTGGCGTACTAACACTTAAAGTTACAGGAATTGGATTTCAATTTGTGGTTATCATTTATTTAATCATGCTAATTAATAGTTGTTAGTTTATGGCTTTTGTTTTACTGAATTATTGCTTTTTATGCTCTGGTATCTAAGTCTTTTTTATAATTAAGGAAGACTTTTGCTTGAACGTTGCAACTTTTCTGAATGGCCAGTTATGCACGAGTATGTAGTCGCGAGTGTCAATGGATGTAGGAGCGTGGGGGCTTTCTTGGAGCACACATTGGATATTAATTTGCAACTGTTCAATAGATTAGAGATTATACTAATATACAAAAGCTTTAAGTACCTATAAAATGCCTGGATTTAGTTCATTTGATTTGATTTTTTTAATGTAAGTAGTTTTCACGACTATGGCATCGCGTATATTGTCGTACATATAAATATGTATACATATTTGTATAAGTACATATGCATGCTTAGAACGCAAGTACTTAGTACATATTCACAAACACTTATCGCTTGTAAATATATACACATACATATATAAATTTTATATATACATATGTACGCTTCTCGACGCTCGCCCCTATATATGCAAATGTCTTCTCTCTATACGCTAATCCTTTTATATTGATCGATTCTTGGTATATACATATTTGGTAAAAAGAAGCATGTCAATGTGACACAATTAATGATAACCCGTTTATAGCGCAATATTTTGATCAGTTGAACATATCGCGGTGTTTCTATCGATATCATCATTTGGTGAATGTGATCTTACAAGCCCACGTAAGGGGAAGCGATACTCGCATTATTTATTTTATTTAATATGCAAATTCAAATTTGTTTGGCTAAAAATGTTTAAGTCGCAGACGCTTGAAAAAAATATTCCTTTTATCGTTACCTGTTTATTTCTCATTTGATAAAATTCGCGGACTGTAGTTTCTTTATTTTTACGCTACGCACGAATTTTTGTTAACTCTTTGCTGTTTTAAGGTTCTTTGTTTTTTGTTTTGTTTGGTTTTAAAAATCGTAATGACTAACTGTAACATATGTGTGTATTTATGTATTTGTTTAAGAGTTTTATGTAAATATCTATACTTTTTTTTATATGTCCGAGTATGTATATTTTTCTATCCTTTCGTCTATATTTGTGATATATGTATGTACCAACATACATACATATGTATGCATACTCATATAATTTTGTTTATATTATTGAGTTTTTGTTTTTAAGTAAACTTTATCTTCTATACCCCGATTTTTGTTGCCATTGCTTTTTTTTAAATTTAAAAATAGTTAACTTTATACTTTGTTTTCAACATTTTTCTCTTTGTGCTTTTCTTGCACATGTACGTTGTGTTTAATTTTTTATTTTGTTTCTTCCTCATTTCTATCCCTTTTACATATCCTTAAAAATACTCTCAATTTTCACATGGTTTTTAATCATTCTTTTTTTATACAGCATACATATGTATGTACCGCCTCAAAATATTCCTATTTGAAATGCAAGCAGTGCGTAAAATACACAAGGGCGTACATACTCGTATGTAAGCATATATTTTTGTAGGAGTGTTGCATTAGAATAGCAACGTTTGGTCTTCCAACTAATCGTATTCGCATAGCCGAATACTCTGGCCAGACTGAAAATACATATGGACATTCATACATAACACTACTCGACAAAATCCAACTTTTTTTTTCTTCAAGGATCCAAACCAACTTTTTCTGAAAGATATGGGACTTTAAAATTTTTTTTAATGAATTATAGATTTTTTCTATGGCAGAACTTTTTTTTTTTTAATTATTGAATTCTGGTATTTTTTGTAAAGCTTTTTTCAGAGGTAACGCTTTTCTTTTTCACATATGTAACTCTAATATCTTACGTCTGGTTGTAAAAAACTTGACTAGTTTAAAAAAATAACTAAAACAGCTAAAAGGTAAACCCAAACTCTTTGTGATTTTAGCTTAGCGTCTGGGAAATATAAAGCGTTGAAATGCAAAAATTATGATTTTTGTGAGGTATTTTTAACGAAATTTTGCCTTCAAAAAAGGCAAAAAAGTCGAAAAAAAATTATATCCTGTAACCTCTATTTTTTGTGTATAGGTGCATTAATTATGCGTCGTTTAAGGTATTATTCATTAAAATCTATGGTGAAACTACCTTTTCGAAGGTTGCGGGCCCAACTGCCAATTGGGATTTGGGATCGCGATCAGGTACCAAATGTACAACCCTTTTTCATTTGCTTTTTTCCCAATTGGCAGTTGGGCCCGCAACCATCGAAAAGGTATTTTTTGTTAATTTTTTTAATTTTTTAGGTTTGATTAACGAATTTTAGCTGCAAAGTTTCACCATAGATTTTAATGAACAATACCTTAAACGAATTTTCGACTTTTCCCGAGCTTTTAAAGTCAAAATGTCGTTAAAAATACCACACAAAAATCATCATTTTTTCATTTCAACGCTTTATATTTCCCAGACGCTAAGCTAAAATCACAAAGAGTTTGGGTTTACCTTTCAGCTGTTTTAGTTATTTTTTTAAACTAGTCAAGTTTTTTACAACCAGACGTAAGATACCTGAGTTATGTGAAAAAAAGAAGCGCTACCTCTGAAAAAAGCTTTAAAAAAAATACGAGAAATCAAAAATTCAAAAAATAAGTTGTGCCATAAAAAAAAAAATTATTATCAAACCATTTCTAAGCCCTAAGTCTTTAAGAAAAAGTTGGTTTTGTTCCTTGAGGAAAACTCGTGTCGAGTAGTGTAATCGTACCAGAAAGGTATATAAAAATGTATGTTTATATATGTATATGAATGAATTTTTTGTACGAATATTTTGTTTGATTTGTCAAATATTTTGATAACCGAGCTATTTTCCTCGCAACTTTGGCTTATCTCTTCAATGCGTTTGTGCATATGGCTTTGACAGTATATTCTTTCATTTCTGATTATTTTCACATTATTCACCGATTCAATGGAAGTATGAAAGTGGTACCAGCACTACCATATTCTATTCTTTTCTTACTTTGAATTTATTGTGACTGGTTAACGTTTTTTTTTAATACATTTTTCTATCACAGCAACATATTTGTATACACTATTTTATTTATCAAAATTCAAAGAAATACTCGTACATACATATGACCAAAAGCATGAAAAAATACACAAATATCAAAAATGAATTTGTTGGTATTCAATTTCGAAACTGAGGGGAATAACCGAGCTGTCGTTAACACAAATCAATATACGGGTATGTAAACATGCACATACATATGTATGTATTGTCCTGCACACATGCATACTTGTGCACATGTATTCAAATATGTATGTAAGTATTATTAGTTCATCTCCATTTTATTATCCATACAAAATCCATATGTACATTTTGTATATATGTACATATATGTACTTTTCAGATTCCACATTATGAGCTGCCGATACATCTATCGAAATTGTAAACAGGAAGACCAAAGGATCAACTGATTGGATGCCGAAAGGTTAATGCACAAATATGTTTGTATGTTTTTGATTTTTCTCGCACATCTTACAAAAGTAAATGTTTGAATGTTTGTCCGTATCACGCGAACAAGCCACTGTAGGCAGTCGTGCCTCCTCCTGCGTTTACTCCCACCTATCCTCCTTATCCAGCGTCCGTTTTTACGGGAACTGCAATGAAGATCGTTACAGAGTATTCAAAAGGTGGAATTAGAACACTTACGATGAAATGTGGTGCTGAGAATAAAACTGCCAGGGTTGCAATTATAGTGAACAGCGTGAAAATAATAAGGCACAAACGATCTACGACCATAGCAGCGAATTTCCAGTCTCGTGTTATGTCGCCAGTCTCGTCCTCTTTTTTCAGCTAGTCGATGAAAAAATTCAGTGGAAAATGGAAAGTTATATCAATTTGAAAATAAAAAGGAAAGATAATACGTATATTCTTGTACTTAAACAATTAGTAAAAATCGAATTTATCTTCAGTTCTGGAAACTGGTATATACATATGTACGAGTATGTACATTAGGGCGGGTCAATTTTTTTCGCAAGAAGCGGCGACCAGAATCAGAATCTACAAAGAATTTAATGAATCTTTCACCAAGACGCTATGGGGTTTTCAAATTGTTTGATATATTTTATATACTACCGGACCCGGCGAACTTCGATTCGCCCTTGAGATAAACTTCAGAGTGATAATAAAACATAGTTAGATCAAATTTCAATACGATTATTTAAATGGAATCGAAATCAGGTCTTCACTGCAGCACCTTGTTATATTTTGGTTTTTTATCAGGTGCAAGAACAAATAAAGCGGATGATTTGCCGATACTTAAACATGCCACGTGCAACTGGCCAAGAGAAAAACATGGATTTAGACCACAAACAGTAAAGGATTGGCCTTGTGATTTTTTAATCGTTATGGCGAAGGCAAGACGAATCGGGTAATGAATTCGTTTAAACTCAATCGGCATTGGATCATTGAAGTTCTCGGAATAAGGAATAACTCATCTTTAAATCTCCTTTTAGTATCGTTTCGTGAATCACATTACTCATCAGTTCCATTGTTTTTCTAAAGAGTTTAAAAATTCAGTTGGATAACACTACTCGACAAAACTTATCTTTTTTCCGCTTCGAACCAAACCAAATTTTTTTTTTATAGATTGGGAGCTTTAAATTAAAAAAATACTAAAGTATCTTACATCTGGTTGTAAATAACTTTACCATTCTAAAAATCTTATTGATCCTGAATTTTGAAAGTTCAAATATCGTAAAAATAGCACACAAAAATCATAATCTTTGCATTTGAAAGCTTAATATTTCCCAAACGGTAAGCTGAAATCACAAATTGTACCAATTTTATTTATAGCTTCATTTCTAAGCATTTTAGAATGACATAGTTCATTACAACCAAATGTGAGATACTTAAGTTATGTGAAAAAAAATAAGTGCTACCTCTGAAACAGGTTTAAAAAAAAAAATAACTGACTTAAAAAGTTCTTCCAAAAAAAATCTGACAGAAAATAACCATAACTCCTTAAAAAAATGTAACGCTTAATCTATCTGAAAAAGTTGGTTTGGTTCAAAGCGGAAAAAAGTTCAGTTTTGTCGAGTAGTGCAATTAGCCAAATCAGTCTAAACAGAAAGACACTCCGGAAAGACCTACTCCCCCCGCGATTTTCCGAGTCGCGGTCGCTTTTTCCAATGTTTTTAATAGCTATTTTGCTATTCTGGAAGGAGACAAACTAAACGAGAAGGAACGTGTGTGTCGCTTCTTTGGACGCAACTCTACTTGTATACCCGTACTCTGTCAGTATATAAATTTTTGAGCTTTATGTAGAATTTTAAAATATTTTACATTTTTACATTCAATTTTTTGCTACATCTGCCATCTACATCTACATCTTACATGTTTATTCTACATCTGAAATTTGGATAATACATCTACAATGTAAATTCTACATGTTCTCTGCGAAAGGTCGCGCACTGCATAGGGCAGAGTGTGAGCGAGCGAGAAATAATAATAATAATAATGGCTATAATAATGATCTGATCTGATTCAGACTCGGTAATCTGGTAGATATGGTCTTTCTCTACGATAGTACGCTTTTACTTGGTATCTTCAAAATTGTGACTGCCACATATTTTCGTTCTTTGTGGGGGCGGGGCGAAATTTTGAAACACACTTGTAGCAGTGGGATATCACATGAGTGTGAAAACAAAATTTGGTTGCTCTAGCTTTTATAGTGTCTGAGATCTAGGCGACAAACCCGACGGACGGACTGACAGATATGGCTATATCGACTCGGCTATTGATGCTAATCAATAATATATGGTATATACTTTTTAGAGTCGGAAACTTTTCCTTCTCTGCGTTGCACACATCCACTTTTACCACAAATCTAATATACCCCTTAGCTCTTTTTGAGTACGGGTATAGCTAAAAATTATTTTCTTGCGGAACAAACGGGTAAAACGGCGAAGCTGAAAAATTAGTTTACTGTCGGAAAATCGGACAAAAGAATATACATTTGATATCACCGCAATCAAACTTCAAAATCATTTCTGTTTTATCAACGGACTGAAACAAAACTTACTTACAAAAACAAATTTCACTTAATAGCACACCGCTCAATCGCAAGTTTTTTAATAAATCAACCATACCTTTGGTTTTCTTAAGATATTAAATTGGTGCGAGACGAAGTTCGCCGGGTCCGCTAGTATTTTATAAATTCTACATAAATCATAAGCTCACAAACTTTATATACTGGTTGAGTACGCGTATAAATGTAGAGTCGCGTCCAAAGAAGCGACTCACACGTTTCTTCTCGTTTTTTTTAGTTTCTGTATACGCACACAATCGCACTGAAGAACATTTGATTGTGTGCGTGCCTACCACTGGTCTAGTGATAAAAATAAAATGCCAATTGTACCTCACACATCGTAACAAAGTCTTATTAGGGCTCTGATTTTAATAATAAAATGTAGTTTGTAGTAGTTTTTAAAACTTAGCTCGCAAATGTCTAGACTTTCATTTAGGGTCTTAACAAAATACATATTTAAAAGCTGCCCAAATTTGAGCCCTTACACATACATCGGTAAAAAATATTTAAATAACATTTAAGAAGAAAAAAATAAATTCTATAAGTGCTTGTTTTTTATACCCGTACTCAAAAAAGAGTTAAGGGGTATATTAGATTTGTGGTAAAAGTGGATGTGTGCAACGCAGAGAAGGAAACGTTTCCGACCCCATAAGGTATATATATTCTTGATCAGCATCAATAGCCGAGTCGATATAACCATGTCTGTCTGTCCGTCCGTCCGTCCGTCTTGTTGAGTGCCTGGATCTCAGAGACTATAAGAGTTAGGGTAAACAAAATTTGGTTTCCAGACTTATGTGATATCACACTGCTACAAGTGTATTTCAAAATTTCGCCCCGCCCCCTTTCGCCAACATAAAAGACGAAAATCTGTGGCAGGCACAATTTTAAAGATACGATAAAACTAAAACGCAATATCGTAGAGAATGACCATATCTACCAGACTGCCGAATCTAAATCAGATCGGATCATAAATATAGCCAGAATGAAGAAATTCATTTTCAGTTGCTTCCCCCGTCTCCATGCATGAAACACGGTACTGATTCTCTTTCTCGCTCGCACACTCTGCCGCGTTCAGGGCGCGAACAACCCCTAGCGGAGGAGATGTAGAATATGAATGGTACATCTATAATCTACATGTTAGATGTAAAATATACATTGTAGACGTAGATAAGAGCTGTAGCAAAAAAATGTAATATGTAAATTTTTTTTTTTTTAATTCTAAAAAATTATAAGCTAATAAATGAATGTACTGACTGAGTACGGGTATAAGTAGAGTCGCGTCCCCAGAAGCGACTCACACGTTCCTTCTCGTTTTTTTAAGTAAATATAAAAAAATAGATGATTTTAAAAACTGAGTACCGGATTATGGGTATTAAATTAATTCTTCTTAACAAAACCAGTCAATTAATTTATACTCTAAACTCTATCGGGGTTGACACAGATTTCCATTCAAACCTTAGGTGGACTTCGTTTTGTGTCACCCCCATATCTACATACATAGGTAAAACGTAACTCCCGGTCAAAGTGATTCTTACCTGATCGGTTATCCAGCGTAGCTCCTTCAATATCAGCGCCAGCTCGTATTCCGCCGATGAGCTCAGACAGGTGTGGGAGATGGCCTCATGCATACGGGCATCGGCAACAGCGGCTACCGGTCCGACTTGGCCCACGGGTCCAACGCTGCTGTCATCCCCTTGCCTGTTGGAGACGTTGTTGGTATTAGGGTATTCTTCTTAATAAAAAAACCCTATAGCTAAACCCGGCAGGTACCGAAGTAGCCGGCTGGCGAATAAAGACTTCATTATCCGGGGATAACGCTTACATATTGTCACTTTACCTCTTATCCGAGTTAATGAAGTGAACTACCTACTGTATATGGGCGTTGCACTATGGTTAGTTTAATTGAAGAATTTTTACCCGCCATATACATATGAGCATAGCATTAAATAACATTAAACATAAAAAAGTCGACACGTAGCGAGTCGCGGGACTACTAATATGTATATGTATGTACGCGGTACTCAGTTGGTATAAGTTAACGTGGCCCAGCCGTGCCACGTGAAAAAGTGCAAAGTCGGCACACGCGAACTTATACCATATAAATTCCTCCACGCCCTTTCCACCTAATAACTAACGACAGACAGCTAGCAGTCTGCAGCTGGCCAAACGGCAATATTGTGCAATTAGGGAGCAAACCAAAAAAAATATTCATATGTTAATCCATCACTTAAGGAGGATGTTAACATGACTTATTAATATCTGGGATTGCCAAGCTGGACGCACGGGACAGCGTGTCTCATTCATATCAAAGCCAAGGAGCTCTCCTCCTGTGAAGTCCTGGAGATTGCGGAACGTTCTAACAAACCGAACAGGAGGATGCCCAGGTTCTTACAATCGACGCACCGTGGCTCGTTTTCTGAAATCTCGTTGCAAAAGTCGAATATCGCGTTGTTAAATTTGGAAAAATTTTTTTACACTTCAATTAGGAATTGATCAAGCTATTCAAAACCAAAATTTTATAATTTACAAAATAATTTTTAGATTTATAATCGTTGTTCAAAGTTGGACCATTTTTCTGTTTTTGGAAAAATTAAGAAAACCGTGCTTAAAAGCCTAGGCTAATGCATTTTTCTCAAAAAGTACTCAAGGTAGGAGAACATTTTTTCTCCCTAATTTATGAAGAAATTTAAAATATGAATTTAAAAAAAAATGAAATAATTGTTGCGATTATATTTTATTAGAGTTTTTTAAGAAACGCCATTTTTTCACTATTTTCAATTTTAAGCGGGATATAAAAAAGGCAATATTTGGCCCAGCATTGGACTGCACGAAAAAATAGTTGTGATATTCAGCAAACAACCAAAAGAAAAAACCATTGGCACAATTTAATCTTGTGGAGATATTAGTTATTTTCCATTCCAACCCATGCTAACTAAACGGCCCTAAGTAGTCGGCCATATAAGAACGCTGCAGAGATGTTGCTCAATATATTCTTTGTTTCAAATTCAAACTAGCTAACAATTAAGAATCACATTCATAAGGTACAAATACGTAAATTTTAGGATTAGCCAAGCCACCGCCCTTACTAGAAATATACATATATGCATTTAATTTAATATTTTAATATTTAACAAAGCAATTTTCCTTATTTTCAAATGGGGAAACCATTTTACACGAATATACTAATTTTAAAAAAATCTTCGTTTTGTCGCTTTTCTTATGAACTGTAGGTGTTAGCCATTTGCTGGGAAGGATATCTTGCACAGTTTTTAAAAACGCTTCGATTGCATCTCTATTGATTGCAGAACAGTTCTTCAAGGTTTTTATTTGCCCTAGTTTGTACGTTAACTTTACGTGCTGTCCGCTCAAGAAATGCAACGTAAATAATTTTCTTTAAGACATTTTTTTTATACAAAATTAAGATTTGTTACATGCAAAAAAATGTTGTTTGTCTATGTATAATTTTATTTATATTTTTAGGGTAAAAAAACACGATTTGAGTTCGACCATTAACTACGACCATTCCAGCGCCACACCTACTTTAATATTTTTTTAAATTTATTTGAAGTTTTGAAAATATATGGATCTAAGCTATTAATATTAATATTAATTTTGCAACAGGAAAACGAGGCACTGTGCGACGTAAAAAACGTTGAAAACTCTATTTTTTGTATAGCTTGGAATAAAAATATCCTGTTAGATGTCAGGACAAGTCAGCAAGGCAGATGACCTCTTGATGCTATATTTTGGATGCTCAACAACTCTGTTAAGTGGGGCGATGTGTGAGAGTTTGGACTGTGGTATTAAAGTACAATCCGTATTGGAAGGTTAGTTTACCTCGATTCTTCTATAATTTCCGGCCAAAAAATGGTTATTTACCACTCAGAATTTATCTTCCTGCTTTTCTCTATCGAAAATTTGCGATATGACCAGCTGCTGTTGACTAGCTTCCGACAAAACAGGCGATTTGAAATGGTTGTTGCATTTGGGTCGCTTTTAAACATCCATACCGTCGATAACTAATTTGTTCGGGCTCATATTTATATATCCACGATTCGTCACCTGCGTAGATGTTATACACAGCATAACACTGTTTAGTTTGCTAGCCTAACGTTAGAGAGTAATCAATAGTCAATAGTAAATTCTGTTAGTTGTTCGTTGTTTGCACTGCCCACCGTACCTAATTGGTAATTTCCTTCGCAATCTCTCCTACTTTCTATCGTCGCATATGTAAATACATACTTACAATTGCTTACATACGAATCGCGCTCAATGTACAGTGATGGAAAAAATAATAGAAACGGCAAGCACATTTACATTTGTAATATTTTCACTTTAGGGACATGATCAGTATATCTGACAACATGATCCCCCGAACTTGCCTGTATGTCGAAAAAACCTCATTCATGGGACCCGAAGACTGGAAAGAGGGTCGGGACCAGAGTCAGAGACGGCTCGAAGATGGAAGGAGGAGTAGGAGCGGGCATATATTGTACAGACCCTGAGATAATGCTGTCCTATAAGCTACTTAGACTGTTCAGATTACATCGTCCCCACGACGTGGTCAACCTGTTCGTGGACAGCCAGGCGGCGATAAAATCCATGCAGTCCAATCCATGCAATCCATGCAAAAAAATGTCTGGGCAAGCAGGGAGGTACTAGATTTCCTTTTCACGACAAAGTCAGTGCGGCATGGAGAAAATACTTGTTCGCCATGGTGCTGGCATCATTGAAAGATGGCTCCAAGTAGAAATGACTTTGCAAAAAATACCTCGATCCTCAAGGACTTCGAAACCTATTAACAACACTCAAGATGGCTCATACACCCCCATCCGCACAACTAAGGGCCATATTGGCCTATGCGTTGCCCCTTGAGGGCCGTCCGGGCTAACCCAACCTAACCTAACCAAAGACAATATAAGAATAAGATGCGTAACGCTCAAACATTTCAATTGCCATATGCAAGCCAATTTTTCGGCAAGCGACGAAATTCGAGCCATCTCGCTCGCACAAATTTAAGAGCGTAAAAATCTAAAAATTGAATGAGCTTGCATGTGTGAGTACCCAGTGGACCAAAACTTCGTAAACGATATCGCAAACGTGAGTTACGCGAAACTCAAGCGGGTAAAACTATCGAATTCAGATCCAAAAACGATAAGAAAATGAATCACTAGTCGCTCAGTTTGTGGCAGTGAAAGTTTCGTTTTCGGTAGCTCGCAGAAGGTATCGTTTGCGGACCTTTTATAAAATCTTTTGCGAGCCTTTTATGCTATATTTTACGATACGATTTTAATATCATTAACAAGCCGAATATTACTATATTAAAAGTAGCCCACTAGTAATATTAAAAGTAAATTAAAAATACTATTTTTTGTCTCGTATTTTGTTCGCATATTTAATATTTAAGTAGGGACGGCGCAAACGCCGTTCCCGGCTATCAAAATGTACACAGATGAGTTATTCACATTAGGAATAATCGCAAAAGTCAACTCAGCCGACGTGCAATGACCAAGTCTCACTCCGGAGGAACACGCCCTCGTGATCACGGTTAACCTCTGCGCCTCTGATCGGCATCGGGGTTTCCATGTCCTCACAGCTGGAAGCAGTTGGGAATTATAAACCGAACCTAGTGCTACCCAAGAACACTGTATAGTTTTAAGAATTGTCCAGTTTTCACTCATTTTTAATTCCGTTTGCGGTAATTTTGCGCGACTTTAGTGGACGCTTGGTTTTAGTACAATAAATGCTCTTTACCGGTGGCTTGCTATTTTCTCCGTTATGTTTTAATTTCTTGTTAATTTTTCACTCATTTTTAAGACCGTTTGCAATAGTTTTGCGATACTTAAACGGCCCAGGGTTTTCGTCCGCTAAATGCTCTTTTTTGAGTCCACTTGCGGACATTGAGCGAGGCTTCAGTAATAGCTCACGGATTTTTATCATTTCTAAGTCCGTTTACGAGCATTTTACGATAGTTCCGCTTTACTATCGTCTTGTGTCCACTGGGTACACACAGAACTAGCAAGTGCGTATGTGTGCGTACTTGTGCGAAGCGTACGATTTTGGAGACGAAAACATTTTTATGAGTTAAGAAAAATGTATGCATACAAGAAAGCGGCTGCCTCTAGAGCGCTCTCTCTCTATCTCTAAAAATTTCAAGAGAGCCAGGAGCCAGCTCTAGAGCCAGCCCTAAAAAATTCGTGTGCAAAAGTTTCGTATGGCGTTATGTATCTTATTCTTATAATGTCTTTGGTTACTGTGTTTATGTGGGTGTGTAGAGGTTTGATGTTCGTAGTATGTACTACGTACTTACATACAAACATACATATATGTAGGATATGTGCGATGTTTGGTAAAGATTGCAATAAAAATAAAATAAAATAAAAAATAAAAATAAATGACATTACGTCATACAAAGAATTATGTGTGCATCACCTTTTTTTATAATAAGAAAAGTACAAAAGCTGATATCAAAATTTTGAGTACTCAGTTTTATTATTAGTGCAATGTTACGTAATTCCAACAAAAAATAGTAACAAATTTTGATTATGAATGAAAATAAACTTAACTTGAAAGTAGTCTTCATACTAAATAATTAGATGTGCATTTTTCATTTTTCCTATTTTAATATAAATAACGTATAACCGTTACCGTTAGCAATAACTTTAGTACTCAATATTGTTCCATTTTTTGTTAGAAGTAAATGAAAGTGCGTAGTTGTGTAAAATTGTGCATAAGTTTTCAATAATTTACAATTGTTTTTTGCAATGCGTTTTGGAACTAATTAGTCTGATGATGGACGACGAATGCCTGAAATCGGGACGAAAATCACAGATATTTAAAAAATACTTAACTCTCATATGAACTGCATTTTAAAATGTATTAAAAAACCAAATAAAAATGGTGTATGGGCCCATTTGTGGGTCGTACGAAAAATAGAAGTCGACTTTGGCTTCATCTAGTAAAATGCAAAAATCTGCGAATGGGAACGGAATATTTGTCTGGACGTTGAAATGCAATGACTGCACCATCAAGTGGCCCATGCGACACCAAGCCGAAGCCTGTTACGCGCGGAACCCAGGCAGAAACGCAGCCCCTCCTCCCTCCCAACCGACCGAGGAGCGCAGCCGCATGACGCGCGACGCGTGTTACCAAACCGATCGCGAGCATGCAGGAAAATTATAGCTAAACACATCTCAAAGAGCTAAAAATGCAAAGATAGCTAAGAAATTGTACTAATTACGGAAAAGGTATGTTAGTATTAGTGATTTAAGAAGAGGAAGGGAATTAGTGGTGGATATTATATGGTAGAGGGAATTGAAGTCCGAGCATAGGACCCTAAATGGTTCGTGCAAGGAATAATTTGATCTACAAAGCGGAAGGAACAAAGGAATAAAGTTTTTAGTAGATCTAATCGGAATCGTAAAGTTTATGTGGCTCAACAAGTCAGGGATATCTACGTCACCCTTGATTGAATGTGCATAAAAATCACACCATGCATTTTTCCACGACTAACTAAGGTTGGAAGGTTTATTAAAAGCAATCTAAGAGGGTAAGATGGCAATCTCACACCTGTAAGTAAACAGTTTTTTACTGGGGGCACCATATACAAGAGCCGTACTCTAAAATCGGACGAACAAGCGAGATATAGAGTCTTCGTTATATATGGATCGTCAAACTCCTTTGACCACCTTTTTATAAACCCAAGCATGGCCTTATTTACCATAGTAGAAATGTGTTCAGAAAACTTTAACTTGGGGTCTAGTTTAACACAAAAATCTTCAACCAAGGTAATTCTCTCAAGAGAACCACCGCAGCATGAAGAGTTAATGGATAGGGTGAATAGTTTAAGCAGGGGTCCACACAGAGCGTCGGCACAGTACCTAAGTACACAGCCGGGAACTCCGTAAGGACCTGGTGAAAACATCGGCTTATCTAGTCGAAGATCATGAAGCAATAAGCTTTCATTTAAAAAGGGGCTAAAAATGCTGTTCGACCTTGGTAAACTGTATGGATACGGCTGACCAGAGTAGCTTTCATGAGAATAGGTTGTTTGGAAAAATTTTGCAAAAAGATCGGCACTTGCCTGATCATTGTTTGCTGACATATTGAGAAATGATAGCAAGGATAAATGTGCGGACGTTCTACGCTTCCTATTTACGAAGCTGTAAAACTGTTTAGGGTCCTGTGAAAATCGTATCTTACATCGAGATAGATCATTCTATAGCATTGAGCGTTAAAAAGTCTTGATTTTGAGTTTTTTAGACTGTATAGCTCTTTGGTAAACTAAGGAGGCTTTCCCAGATCTAACCGGACATGAAAGTGGGACACAAGAATAAAAAATGTAAGTGTTAAATGTAAATGTAAGAATATGTTTGTGCCTTTCATAACGTCAGTGCACACGTACAGAGCGGACCAATCAAAATTTATAATGCGGTTATTAAGCTTCGTAAACTCGGCTTTACGAAAGCAACGGACACGTTCAGATAGCCTACCCGTTCGATCCAATACAGTAGGCCCAATATCGACAAACACTTCGAATGTAGGATGGTAGGAGTCTTCAGGTATAGTGAGCGTAAGGGCATACAAAGCACAGATCAAGCAATCGACTCAAGGAATTTTTCACATGGTTGACTTGAGACAAGGATAGGTCTACCAAGCCGTCGATAAAGACTCGTATTAGACTCGTTGACCGAAAACAAAACAGTACCTGGAAAATTTAAATCACCAAGAACTTTCATATCATTTAATAGCGATGAAGAAACAGTTTTTAAAGCGGACAGGTGATGCTCGTATATTAAGATATCCGAGGAAGGTTGAGTATACGAGCAAGTACTGAAAATGGAAAATGGAATGGAAAAGGGAGAATCAGTTTTACGCACAGGAATTCCAGGTCTTGTTCAACCTGGACTATGAAATGTTCCGACGTGAAGCTTGAGTCCACTTCAATGAGGACCCCACCTCCACGTCGAGACGAACGGTCATTTCTAAAAATTGTGTATCGACCTGCCAAAACATCGGAACTAAGGATGTCCGGCTTTAACCAGGTCTCGGTAAACACAATAACGTGGGATGAGAATGCGAGAATCTCAAGGAAAAGAGTGCTGAGCTTACTACGCAAGCCTCTAGCATTCTGGTAGGTAACTAAAAGAGAGGAAGTTAGTTTTTGGATGGGAAGAAGTAGAGGTGGAAGATGAGGGTTGAGATGGAGCATTGGTCTGACTACTTAGCCTTAAACTCTTTGACCACCAAATGCTCCAGCCAAAACTTGGCGGAACAAATGTTTTCAAATTGAGTCGGGGAGACGCTTATCTTTAAGGA